CGCCGTCGCAGTAGCGTACAATAAAGACTATGGTAATAGCATCTACTACAGGCGATTGACATTCGGAGCTGCTATATTGCCAATTAAAAACGCTCCGCTTTCTTCCCCCTTGAACGCCGAGGGGCTAATACCATCCATATACTTGCGTCGGCTTCATTTTTTTCGGCCGGTCCTAATAGTAATACTCAACGGGGCTACCATCGCTGGTCGTCAGACTGATCTGCAGGAACAGGTCGCTCTTGGGTGCACCCAAGCCGCCCACCTCATCGGGCAGCACAAGCGGGTAGCTGTACATCTCGCAGTGCCGGTCCCCAGCGTAGAGCGCAAGGGGAATAACCGCCGAACCGATAAGGTCATCTTTGCTGAGCCGATCGTAGTCATACACTTGGGCGATTAGGAACTGGTTCTCCCATTCGTCCACTTCAAACTCGAACTTCTCAGGGGGCGACCACTGCGGGTTGAGGTCGTTCATGATGCACGAACTCTTCCTCGTCACGCCTTCCAGCGTGAATACTACGTACGGGTCGCTCTTGCCACCAACCATGTCCAGGTCTGCGGCCGCTAAGTCCTGACACTTGAAGAGAACGATACGTACAATGAACTTCTTTCTCTGCTTCCTCGTCAATGTCATCGGCATTTTTGGTGGCGGGGTTACTCTTGAACAGCGCTGTCGATACCTTGGAATGGAGAGAGAGAAAGCTAGGCAGCGCTGCTTGCAGACTGTGCTTATGAGGCGCGAGTAGAGGAGGGAATGAGGCGGGAGACTGGAGACAGCAGAGCCCAGGAGCGGCGAGGCTCAAATGGCCGGTTGATGTAGAAGTCGGAATGACCGATTTTCGGTGTCGCAAAATGTAATCAAAGTGTACCCTCAATAACGGTTGCGATGGAACTAACGTACCCCACAAACATGGATACAGTATACATTATACGTTAGATTCTGACTTTTGATACTATACTGTATAATATCCAAAGCATCTAATTCATGGATTCCAGTATCCACACTGTGGATTCCACTACCCACAGCAACGATAAAAGATTCGCGTATCAGGTTGTCACTGAGCCGCCCCCGCATCAGAGCTAAGAAGATGGCATCCACTGAGACCGACCTTGCGGTACGAGAGACACCAGTCAATGAGGCGGGTCGTGAGCTCATTTCGACCGGATATGCGTTGTTAGTGGCCTGTCGCTGCGGAAAATTAAAAGCTGTTCAAGATCTCCTCGTGAGAGGTGCCGATATTAACGTCCAAGATCCGCGGGGTAAATCTGCGCTTGTATACGCAGCTATGTCTGGCCACACTGAAGTGGTAAGCTTACTGGTTGAACATGGCGCTAATCTGGAAGTGACAAGTGCAGACGGCTGGACACCCCTTGTGTTCGCTGTCTCCCACGGCTACACCAATGTGGTGGACATCCTTTTGAAAGCTGGAGCCAACATTGACTTCCAGCTTTCCAATGGATGCACCGTTCTTCACATCGCCTGTGATTATGGCTACCTTGCTATTACTGAATTACTTCTCAAGAAAGGTGCACGTGTTGATACGCCAAATAAGAAGAAATGGAGACCCCTTATGATCGCTGCCCAACATGGCCACACGAACGTGATGAACATCCTGCTCAAAGCTGGAGCCAACGTTGACTCGCAAGATTCGTACGGATGGACCACCCTTCACTGGGCTTCTTTTTGGGGACAGCTTTCTATTGCTGAATTACTTCTTGTGAATGGCGCAGATGTCGACATACCGCATGTGGACGGCAGTACGCCCCTTATGGTCGCCGCCAATTCTAACCACGAGCATATTGTGGGCATTCTTCTCACATCTGGAGCTAATGTTGACATGCAGCTTCCCAACGGGGCCACCGCGCTTACTATCGCGTCTAGTAAAGACAACATCTCCATTGTCAAATTACTTGTCGAGAGCGGTGCAAGTGTCAACTTGCCAGACAATGAGGGCTGGACCCCTCTAATG